TGGTTAAGCTTTGAGTTTTGTCATGTTTATTTTTGCACCAAACACTAGACTGGAAATTTTTTTTTTTTAATATATCAAAATTTTATTTTATTATTTTGACTAACAATAATAAGATGCAATTCCAACTTTTTTTCTAAGTATTTCTTTTATTTTTTCTTCAGATCCAAGAAAATACAAACTAAAAACAACATTAAAAAAAAAGAAAAGAAATAGGAATGATGCAAATTTTGGATGGGAGACCAGATCTGAAAGATCTTCAAGACATTGAACAAACCAAACTACCAAAAATGCAATCAGAATATTCTGGAAAACAGAAAGATGAATAGCGGTAAAACAACAAAGTTGGTCATAGCACCAGAGTAGGAGATCTCGAGTTCAATTCCCTGCAATTACGACCTCTCAATATATATATATAAGTTGATTTTTCACATGACGGGCTCGTAGACTTCCACAAGGTTGGGGGTCTTAAGGGGTCTGTCATCTTCAAAGTTATAGTTGTGCTTGGAACATCCATATCTATGTCACTATGTGGCTGTGCACTAAATTTTCTGTTCAAACTGTCTATATTGTCTTATATTTGTCAAGTTGTGCTTTGGCAGGCAGTAAGTGTCAAACAAAGTAGGGCAAATATTTGGTTATGCTCATATTTTTATTCGTCTCCAATATGGAGGTATTTATATAAGTACAACCCTAAATAAAATAGGAAATAAATCTAAATTACAATAGAAAGTAAATCTAAATTACAATAGGAAATAAATCTTAATTATAATTGGACTAGACAAATAGGTAAGTAACTAAAATCCTAACATAGTAAGGAACCAAAATCCTAATTAAGTAAGGACTCGCCAACACTCCCCCTCAAGTTGGGCAAAGATATTTCACATGCCCAACTTGACAAGCGAGTCATAGAACACCATACTTGAGAAGCACCAATTGTAGAGAAGGGAAGTAAATCTCTATTACAATAGGACTAAATAATAATTGGTAAGTAACCAAAATTCTAATGAAATAAGGAACCAGAATCCTAACTAAGTAAGGACTCGCCAACACTCCCCCTCAAGTTGGGCAAAGATATTTCGCATGCCCAACTTGACAAGCGAGTTATAGAACACCATACTTGAGAAGCACCAATTGTAGAGAAGGTCTTTTTGTCAACTACGAGTGAAACAAATGACAAACTAAAGCAAAGTTCACAGCGGAAACACAAGAGCAAACCCTAAAAAATAGGGCACATAGCAGAACACAGAAACCCTGTGAGCACGACAATAGATAAGGCAGAACATAGAAGCCCTGTGAGCACGGCAGAAGGTAAGGCAGAACACAGAAGCCCTGTGAGCACGGCAGAAGATAGGGCAGAAACCAAAGGCAAGCCAAACACACCAGCAAAGACATGAGCAACAATACTGGCACCATAACAGGCAGGAGCAACAATACTAGCACTAACAAGAGCAATACAAGGCACTGGTACCAGCAAGAGCAACAGGGCAGAGACATAACAAACATCATCAACAACAATACAAGGCATTGGCACCAGCAACAGCAGAGACAAGGTCAACGGGCATGACCACAGTGGAAACACATCAGCCATGGAAGATAGGTGGTTAAATTGCAGTGGAATAGATGAGCAGCGGTGTCACTCCCCCTCAAATCCGACGATGTATGAGAGTCGAGATTTGGAGAAAGTAACACCCAAATAAAGTTGCAGCACTCCCCCTCAAATCCGACACTGGTAAAGGGTCGAGATTTGGAAGAAGAGAAATTGAATAATAGTAAAGAGACTCAAACATGCCAGTCTCGTGGCAGAAACAAATGCAAGAGGGGAAGGTGGTAGCATACAGTTGTCCCATGAAGAAAAAACTTCAGAAAATGAGAATAGTAAGGGAGGAAACCCAGCAAATCATGAACAGAGACAAAGACAAAGATAAGGTGCTCAAAACTGAGAAGCGGAAAGGCAACTCAAGAGAGTAGCCGAAGAAGACAGAGACCGGCAGAACAGTCAAAGGAAAGGCTCGGCGAGCGGTGACGAGGCTCGCGGAGGAAAGCAACAGCTCGGTGAGCGGTGACGAGGCTCACAGAGGAAAGCAACGGCTCGGTGAGCGGTGACGAGGCTCACGTAGTAAAGAGACTTGTTATAAAGTTTCAAAGATAGAGAAGCTGAGACATCAATACTGTCCCCACTTTACCACCTGCACAATCCTCAGGTGTGGGGTTTTATCACAAAAGGCCTCGGTATTAGTTGGAGTGGGGTAATTCTATTTAAAGTACTCTTTCTCCTTCCCTCTCTCCGATGTGGGACACAATTGGTTTCAACACTCGCCCGCACGTGAGACCCCATTTTATGGGTCACACGTGGAGATCCACACATCGGCAACCACGTGGAGCCATGTAGGGACTCACCTATCGCGCGGGGCCAAACGGGGACCCACCCATCACGTGGCAAGTACGGGCCCGCAACCTGGCTCTGATACCATGTCAAACAAAGTAGGGCAAATATTTGGTTATGCTCATATTTTTATTCGTCTCCAATATGGAGGTATTTATATAAGTACAACCCTAAATAAAATAGGAAATAAATCTAAATTACAATAGAAAGTAAATCTAAATTACAATAGGAAATAAATCTTAATTATAATTGGACTAGACAAATAGGTAAGTAACTAAAATCCTAACATAGTAAGGAACCAAAATCCTAACTAAGTAAGGACTCGCCAACAGTAAGGCTGTCTTTACTAACATCTCAAAAAGTAGATAACATATTCCTAATATGCAGAATCAATCCATCCATTCATCCATTACTAGTAATTTAGTTATAGAATTGATTATCTTGTAGTCTACTGTAAACTCATGGACTAAAGGACCACGGCTGGATCAACGCTCAACACCCTTAATCAGTTCCAAGCCTCCTGATACGAGGTGTCGGAGGCATATTATGAATAATGCAGTCTTTCACAATCTTCTTGACTAGCTTCATTCTTTGAACTGGACCCATAGCAGCAACCAGGTCATCCTATTCATTTACATGCAAAAAAAAAAAATCATTAAAAGTCATAATTCTCTTCTCACTACACTTGGGCGTGTGAGAATACCAGATAAAATGCACTTGCAAATACAACCATGATCTAGAATACTTTTGTGCACCTGTATTGGGAGACTCATGAGAAATTTCTTCCTGGAATCATACTTTTTCTGCACAACCACATTACAAGATATTTAAAAAGTCATATATAACTGAGCTTTTGCATGTGTCCATCATAACAAAGAGTTGTTGGGTCAGAATCTTCACGGGATAGAGAGCATAACACCAAAAGGTCCATATTCCTCATATTATTCACATTAGTTCTTGTATCACTACACCCTAACCAATTCTAAACCTTTCTAAGGTCAAACAACAACTCTAAATTTCATGTTATAGTACTCCTGAAATTTATAGGTCCTACATCATAACTATAGAAGAATGCTTATAAGAACACAAATGATGTACAAAAACAAAAATGGAAGGAAAACTTGAGAAATACCTACCGATTTGATGCCAAATTTTTTAAAGAGCCCACCTTGAACATACCCAGTGTAGATGAGGTAACATGACATTTTTCGTTCAGTACTTTTACTGTCTGGATAAAAATGTTGCACACTCAAATCAGAAGTTTAATAACCAGAAGAAAATCTGTTTTTTTTTAAACACTTCGATGAGAACGGAAATCCTTGGAGGAATCAAGCCAAAAAAAAAAGGTTTTTATCATTAAAGTTAGATAAATTGAACATCGGTTTATCATTGAGATGTAAATATTCTAACATAAAATAAAAAATATAAGTGATTAGCATTCACCGTCCAACAAATATGATTGGCATGTCGTTATGCCTTGAGAAAGAAAGGAATTACATTGAAGTAATACCTTATTTGAAATCAATAAACTTGAAGAATAGCTGATGGGGGACCGGTAAGAAACAATAACAAAAGATTTGACATTTGTACCCGAAGCGGAGGAACTTGTGCTGACAAAAGTAGAACAAGATATCTAGCCTTGAGAATAGAATGTGGGTCCTTTGCCTTAGTTGTCAATACATTTACAAACAACATTTATTATAACATACCACATCCAATTCACATGAAATGTCATACTCGTCTAAAGCAGATTTCAGCACCAGATCTCATGAATGGAATAACTTTTGATGGAAAATTAAACTAGAAAATATGACACAAAGATGAAATTGTTGAATTTCATACACAAGAGCCGTAACAATTTGAAATAGTCTAATCCCTTTTACTTGTATTTCAGAGTTGATTGTTTTTCATCGTAGCTTGGGCACTTGTTGCAGAGAGAGCGAGAGAGAATGCGTTTCTGTCGACGACGTGAAAGGTAAGGAAGTGTTTTTTGGTCTTGGCTAATTATATTTTAAGCCTGAGTATGAACATAATTGAAATCATCCAATATTATGCATACACATGGCAAATAATAGAAACACAAGAGGCGTAAACAAAGAGGGTTTTAACAACTAATAACTACAAAACAGAAGAGTTGAAATTCTGTTGGGGCGGTGGATATTGTAGATGGAGTAAAAAGAATGCCAACTAGCTAACATGCAAAAATGACAACTGAAAACGACAGGGGTTGTTCAACAAGTACAAGTGTTAGTTAGAGAATCAAGTATTGCTGAAATTTGTCTATATTTGGTTATTTGGTCAAGTGGGTTGGAGGTATTCAACAAAAATAAAAGAGGGTTGAAGTTTCTTGATACAAAGAAATAGTAGGGGTGGGGAGAATCGGACCTAAGACCTAAGATACATTATTAAATATTCTTAATTACTTAAACTACAACCCCTTGCGAGGTTTCTTGAATAACATAATCCATAGAAAAGGACGGGTTCCTTAAGTCAAACACAGAAATGGAGGAAAACGTAGCTGGATTAGATTGGTAACTTCTAAAAGACCTCCACATGTTGGGCAAGTAGTGTGCGAGTCTTTTTAAAAGAAGTGGTCACCCATACTACTATTCTATATATTTATTGAACAATTAATGAACTCGCTGACCTTAATAAATACTACACACACCCTTCTCTCATATTCTTCATGCTGAGATCTTCAAACCATCTTCTAATAAGTTCTTTTAGTTCTTGAATCAGATAGACGATGCTACATTGCAAGCATCTCATAACTCCTTTGAGCTACAAGAGAAAAGTAGTTGCAGTAGCAATACCCAGCAACCTCACATCAATTAATCACAGGCCACTACTGTTGCCTAAATTGCCTGGTTTCTTGAGCATGGATGATGTTACACGATCTCAACCGTTGCCTTTGGCTTCAACAGCTGCCAAGGCATCCCAGAACAACACCATTGATCCGCACCCCAAATATGAGGGCAAGAAGATCAAGGGGAGGGTGGTGTTGATGAAGAAGAATGTTCTGGACTTGAACGACCTTACAGCATCGGTTCTCGATCGTGTAGGTGAGCTGGTAGGCAAAGCGGTTTCTCTGCAGCTCATTAGTTCTGTCAATGGTGACCCTGGTGAGAACTGAATACTACTTTGTCTTTTAAGTTCATAGATACATAGGCTTCTAGTTTACTTGTTAATTTGTTAGCATCCATGCTTATTTAATGGTTCCAAGTTACTTGTAGTTTTTAGTACCAGAACCTCAAAAGAGAAAACAGAACATCTCAACTTAGAACAGAGAAAAAAGAACCAGCATTTGGAGGTCTTATAATTGAACATCCATTGATCCATTTTTCATTTGATCTCCTTTTGTAGAAAAGGCGTCCCCAGGAAAAGTTGGAAAGCCAGCATATTTGGAAAATTGGATTACCACAATCACCCCCTTAACAGCAGGGGACTCTGCATTTGATATTACTTTTGATTGGGATGAGGAGATTGGGGTCCCAGGAGCATTTATAATTAGAAATGATCATCACAGTGAGTTTTACTTGAAGACTCTCACGCTTGAAGATGTTCCTGGTGAAGGTCGAATCCACTTTGTCTGCAACTCATGGGTGTACCCTGCTGACAAGTACAAAAAAGACCGCGTTTTCTTCGCAAACAAGGTAAAAGTTTGTAGGATGAAAGAATGCAGTTCTAATGCAACTCATTAATCACGCATGAGAGAGAGAGAGAGAGAGAGAGAGGGAGATTGAAGTTCATTAAGACAAACTCATTTAGTTGTAGTTTATGGACTGCTAGAAATACTGAAAATGGTAAACTAGTAGGTTGATTTGTATATTTGTGCAGACTTATCTTTCAAGTGACACACCAAAGCCACTACAGAAATTCAGAGAAGAAGAGCTAGTAAACTTGAGAGGAGATGATGATGATAAAACAAGAGAGCTTCAGGAATGGGACAGGGTCTATGACTATGCCTATTACAATGATTTGGGGAATCCAGATAAGGGTCAGGAGTATGCCCGTCCAGTTCTCGGAGGGTCAAGTGAGTTCCCTTATCCTCGCAGGGGAAGAACAGGAAGACCACCAACTAAGACAGGTTAGTTGATAAACTTGGTATTTTTTCAGCCTTTAGAAATGACAAACAGGAAATATGGATTTCTATTACTTTTAGCTCATTCAGAAAGAATGGTTATCATGAAGAATTTTCTGATTTTGTCTTGATAGATCCTAACACTGAGAGCCAGCTGAAGCTTATCATGAGCCTAAATATATACGTTCCAAGAGACGAACGATTTGGTCCCTTAAAATTGTCAGACTTGCTTGCTTATGGTTTGAAAACCATACCTCAGGTCCTTAAACCTGAGCTAGCAGCTCTACTTGTTGGCAGCCACAATGAGTTCAACAACATGCAAGAAGTACTTATGCTCTATGAAGGAGGTATAGAGTTGCCTGATGGTATACTAAAATATATTAGGGATAGCATACATGAAGAGCTGTTCAAGGAACTTTTTCGAACTGATGGTGAAAAATTCCTCAAATTCCCAGTGCCTCAAGTGATCCAAGGTATATAGTTTACCAGTCTATGTGCCTTCATATATACTGCTTTCTTTTACCTGACTCTGGTCTTCTAATGATTTTTACTAGACAATAAGTCGGCATGGAGAACTGATGAAGAATTTGCAAGAGAAATGCTGGCTGGAGTAAATCCTGTTGCCATTCGTCGTCTCCAAGTAATCTTAAGCTTTCGTGATCTATTGTGTACATTTGGTTTTTTTTATTTTAAGAAAATGGAAAACTCGAAGCTACATTTGAATTTATGTTACTTTGACTTTCATCCTTAATCATTGTTATTCCTGAATAAACTGCAGGAATTTCCACCTGCTAGCAAGCTAGACCAAAAAGCATATGGGGATCAAACAAGTCAAATAACCAAAGAACACATAGAACATAACTTAAAAGGACTGAGCGTAGATGAGGTAATGCTATTGACTTATTTAATTCAACATATGTTCTTGTTATATTCTTATTCGAAAATAATTACTGTAAAGTATTTGGTATTATAGGCAATCAAGAACAAGAAGCTATTCATATTAGACCACCATGATGCATTGATGCCGTACCTGAGGCGTATAAACACAACTTCCACAAAAACTTATTCAAGCAGAACACTCCTTTTCTTAGAAAATGATGGGACTTTGAAGCCATTAGCTATTGAGTTAAGCTTGCCACATCCTGATGGAGATCAATTTGGCTGCATTAGCAAAGTCTATACTCCCTCTAGCCACGGCATCGAGAGTTCCATTTGGCAACTTGCTAAAGCTTATGTGAATGTAAATGACTCTGGCCATCATCAGCTCATCAGCCACTGGTATAACACTGTCAAAGAAAGCATGGCAACCAAACATTTTTCCCCAATGAATCTTGAATATGTTCTTGTTGTGTTGCAGGTTAAAAACTCATGCAGTGATTGAACCGTTTGTGATAGCAGCAAATCGGCAGTTGAGCGTGCTTCACCCGATTCATAAACTTCTGCATCCTCATTTTCGTGAAACTATGAATGCAAACGCAATAGCTAGAGAGGTTCTTACAAATGCAGGTGGAATTATAGAGGAAACAGTCTTTCCTGCAAAGTTTTCAATGGAATGGTCGTCTGTAATGTACAAGAACTGGGTCTTTCCTGAACAAGCGCTTCCTGTGGATCTCATCAAAAGGTAAAATCTTATGACCACAACATTTTTCATCTAAAATTTTCGGCAATGGATGCAACTCAAATATTAGAGATAAGACACAATGTTACAGGGAAAAATGAATACAATTAAAGGGTCTAAAAGATTTGATGAATGCTGTCATTATGTTCTAAACTCAAGTCTCAAAAACAAGAAAGATGAAAGGCTTGATGGCTTTTAATTATCTACCCTTTGCTATGTTCAGAGGAATGGCAGTTGAAGATCCAAAATCGTCACACAGTGTACGCTTACTGATAGAGGACTATCCATATGCTGCTGATGGGCTTGAGATATGGTCTGCAATTAAAACATGGGTTAAAGAGTATTGCTCCTTCTACTATAAAAATGATGAAATGGTTCAAAATGACTCAGAACTCCAGTCTTGGTGGAAGGAACTCAGAGAGGAAGGTCATGGTGACAAGAAAGATGAACCATGGTGGCCTAAAATGCAGACTTGTGAAGAGCTGATAGAATCATGCACCATTATCATATGGCTCTCTTCAGCCTATCATGCAGCAATCAACTATGGCCAGTACTCTATAGGTGGATACGTCCCGAACCGGCCAAGCATAAGCCTGCACTTCATGCCGGAAGAAGGCACTCCTGAGTATGAGGAGCTCAAAACTAACCCTGACAAGGCATTCTTGAAAACATTTACACCTCAGCTGCAGACCCTTCTTGGCATGGCCTCCATAGAAATCTTATCAAGGCACCCAGTTGATGAGCTTTATCTGGGGCAGAGAGACACCCCAGAATGGACAACAGATGCAAACATGTTGCAAGCCTCTGAGGATTTTAGAAAGAAGCTGGAAGGAATTGAGAAAAGAATTATAAAAATGAACAAGGATGAGAAATTGAAGAACCGAGTTGGACCGGCCAAGATCCCATACACTTTGCTCTATCCTTCTAGTGAGCCTGGACTTACTGGCAAGGGAATTCCCAACAGTGTCAACATCTAATGCTTCTCTATTTTGTAAATTTTACTCATCCTTCTCTCTTGGCTCGATATGTTTTTTTTTGTTGTATGAATAAATTCAGAAATTGTTCATGTGTTTACTATGTGAATGCAAGCCCATCCATGACCATGGATCGTGGGGGATAAACATGCTGAAATTACTTCGTGGACAAAATCTGCACACCTAATCTCAGCTACCTTACCAGCTGCCTCGATTAAAGATAAGACAGAAGCCATGCATGAGCATATCACTAATATCCAGAACTTATCAGCTTTCAAGTTAGTCCAAAGTCAAATAGATAATGACACATAATTAAGAACCAAGAGACATATATCATTGCAAGTCCTACATGAGCAGATACATGAGCATAACCTTCAACAATCAGATTTCATTGGTATCAAATTAAACAACAAAAACAGACTGGCCAGTCCTGCATCAAACAGAGCTAGTAATACCTCTTTATATATCATTAACCAGAGTATTATAGTTTTTCATGAAACAAGAGTATAACCAACAGGCTGCACCCCAGTTTCTCCAATTGCAGAACTTGAAGGTATCTGCTTGGCAACTCTTAGACCAAGTCCAAGAACTCCGTCTTTGTCCAGCTCAGAAAGAACCTTCTGGTCAGCACATGGGCCTTCTCCTTTATAAAAATTCGGCTCTGTTTCTTCATCAGCCACAGCTCTTGCAAGATTAAAATTATTTTGTCAACCAAAACTAGATTTCTTGGTAGGTCTTAAAACATATTTTTTATATGATTACACAATTTGTATGGAAATGAGCCTCTTACTTCTGATCATACCCTTAGCATTTGATTAAATAATTATTTAAAGCATATAGCCGCGCGGCTATACTCTTCAAATTTATATGAATATTTCACCAGTATAGCCCGGCGGCTATACTCATTCAATATATTCAAATATTTAAATAGTATAGCCAGGCGGCTATGCTCTTTCAGTGTACTCGAATGTTTAAATAGTATAGCCGCCCGGCTATACTATGTCAGTATATTCGAATATTTAAATGGTATAGCCGGGCGGCTATACTCTCTCAATATATTCATATATTCAAATAGTACAGCCGGTCGGCTATACGCTAAGTATAGCCGCTGGGCTGTACGCTTTTAGTATATTTGAATACTTAAATAGTATAGCCGCTCGGCTATACGCTTTCAATATATTCATATATTTAAATAGTATATAGGCTATACGCTTTCAGTATAATCGAATATTTAACTAGTCTAGCCGCCCGGCTATACGCTTTAAATATATTATGTTTTAAATATTATTTATTTAGTGAAGAATTAGTATTTAAATATTTTAATTAATTTCATAAATTACTTAATAAATAGTAATGAATTTTAATTATCTTAGCATTATTTAATCACTTTAATTAGTAATTATCTTTTACTTATTTTTCTTTCGTGAATAATGAGTATTTAAATATTTTAATTAATTCCATAAATTACTTCAGATATATATATATATATTTTTGTGTAATTGTTTTTATTAATTTTATATACTGATCTTAAAACCATATATATTACACATAATTTTATAATATAAATGAAAGGGAAATTTTCAAAACCAAATACAATGTTGTTGACACCGATGTCTAATATAGCAAGGCTATCCGCAAGTATATTAACTTCAAAAATACAATATATATGTTTTTGTAATCACTTGAGTTAGAAGGATTTTGAATTTTAACTCATCTTATTTACCCACAAAAAAAATTATTGTTAAAATAACTTATTTTATTTGCCAAAGTAAAACCATGTCGGATCAAAATGCTTTCTAATATAATTTGGACGCAGACCTACAAAAGCAAGTTTTTTCAAACACGAACGCTGACTTTCCTTGCGCCAAAATCTACCAAATAAAAAATGATTTGTGTTTCTGGCCGTTCGGATCCATGAATTTTCTTTTCGGAATCATCATATGAAAGCTCACAATTTTTTTTACAGATATAAGACCCGTAGAAATGAATGTAAACGCAATAAAAGAATATATACATGTAGTTTTAGTATATATACGTGTTTATTAGATATTTTTTTTAGAGAACATGTTAATTTATTAGATTTTTTTTATGAGGAACATGTTTATTAGATTGTTATGCATATTTCAGTGAAATTGGAAAACTTAAAAAGAAAACTATTTTTATTTGTGTGAAGTTTTTATGAATTTATTATAACTTCTAGAAGTAAAATACTACCGTGGTTTGGTTTCAATGATAGGGAGATATACTTGAAAATTAAAAAAAATGATAGGGAGATATACTTCATCGAGCAGTCGTTGCTGGGCACTCAAAAACGAGTCCAATTTTCCTGTTATCAAATTCCCTGTGCCTCTATTTCTTCCTTGTGGCACATCATTTAACAGCATTTTAACTCTGTTAACTCTTCAGCCCATTTATTTTAATTTAATTCAAACCTCTTACCTTCCATGGCGTTTTCCGGGTTTCCAGTGGTCAATTGACCACCCTTGCCCCAACGTGGGTTCGCTGCAGTTGCATTTCCGTAATTTTGGAGAAATCCAATGGCGGCTTCGGACGCTTTCAGCGTTCGGATCGTCTCCGTCGATTACTACATGGCGCCGCCGATCCCAGACGTCGATATCTCTTACAGTAGCTTCCAAGGTACCATTCCCCCAACCCTCCGTGAAACGATGCCGTACGGTCAATTTGCTTAAATTCATAGCTACTGTTTCCTTCACTTGGCTACTATGTGTTTCATTTGAACTTAGATTTCCAAAAAATTCATTCATAATTTCTGCAACCAAACACAGGCTTAGGGTTTGACTGAGTGAGTGGATGTTCTAGTTAATTTTCTGTGTCACCAAACACGGTGCTATGGTTTTGACATTAACATAAATTATTTTTGTTAAATTTTTCTGAAGGTGGGAAGGTGAATGAGGTGCCCGTTATACGAATATTCGGCTCTACTCCGGCTGGCCAGAAAACTTGCTTGCACATTCATCGAGTAAGATTTAGATTGTTGCTTATTAATTCCTTCTTTTTTTTTCTTTTTCTTTTTTCTAATTTACGGGTTTCTTATTGTGTTTTTGGGGCTAATTTGTTATGTGCAGGCGTTACCATATTTATATGTGCCATGCGCCGATATACCGATTCAGCTGCACGAAAAAGGTACTTAGTATGCTTAGAACTAGGCTAGCACGAAAAAATTGATTGATATACAATCCCAGTTGGAAGGGATGAAGAAGGCTTTGTTGGCATTTTGTTTTTGAGAAAGAGTTTAACATAGTATATATTTCTGCCTACGTTTTTCTAATAAGTTCCGGGTTTTCTAAGTTTGATTTTTCTCTGTAGTTATGCTTTTATTTTTTATAGTCACATTTGATACATGAATATAATTATATATTATTTTCCCCGTTGTTTTGATTGCATAGGTGATTCTTACACACATGATATATCTCTTTCTATAGAGAAAGCTTTGAAGGTATGCCTTGTTAAATTGATTGAGTGCTAGTCTGCAATGCATTTTGTTTGGTATGGTTCTCTGCTTCACATGTCTGGTACTGAAACCACGGATCAATGTATTTGGTAACACTTACAGCTCAAAGGCAATGCTGGTTCAAAGCGGCAACATGTGCACAGTTGCAGCCTTGTCCAGGCAAGGAAGCTTTATGGTTACCACTCATCAGAGGAGGTGTTTGTGAAGATATACCTGTATCCTAATCTTGTTTTTATGAATTTATTTTCTTAGTTGCCAGGAGTATGTTATTGAACACCTTGACTAGAAACTAAGCTACTATCCACATGATGTCTCTCGTGCTGCCAATCTTCTTCTGGTGCTCTTCTTCAACATCTTTCTTATAATTGGTGGCTGTTTGAGATTTATTATTGTTACTGTTGGGTTTTGACTGCTGGCATATTGGAGCTCTTTTCCTCCTTTGCCATGGCTATTGGTTTCTCTGATGTGAAGTTTTCTTTATATGATACCAAATGTTATTTTTTTAGTTCGTAAAGTAGTGAGCACTCTGGTTTTTATTTAGGACATTTTTTCTGTGGAAGTATTTCATTGGAGGTCATAAGTTCTTATTGTAGTTGTCATTGACTAGATGCTTCTGATTCTTTCTTTTTATTTGTTTTATTTGTTTCATGTGTTTTATTGTCAACCAAAACTAGATTTCTTGGTAGGTCGTAAAACAGATTTTTTTATATTATTACACAATTTGTATGGAAATGAGCCTCTTACTTCTGATCATACCCTTTGCACAGCTTTCTTATCAGTTTTTTCGTTTAGCTTTCAATTTGACCTCCTGTAGGTTTACTTGGAATTTGGTGATCACTGATCATTATATGGATGTATTTTTGTGAATCAAATTCTTTTACGGTCTTGATTTAGCTTGTGTTATAAAGCTGACTAGGTGAATGAGGATTTATCATTGTTAATTCTTGCTTTTCAGGGTAGTTCAGTTCTTGATAAATGCTTACAGCCTCATGAATCTCACATTCCCTTCATTCTCCAGTTTCTGGTAAATGATTCCCTCCATATTAATTATTGCATTGATTTTTAACTCATAAATGTTTAGAAAGAGCTATGCAGGATTCATACAATTTAAGACTATCTCTTGTGGAAATTTCCCCAGAGTAGTGTAGAGGGTCCACTCTAAAGCATGATTGTGCACATTGATATGTGGGATCCGCAAATACCTAATTCTTGTAGTGTTCTAGCTTGATTTTTGTCAACGTTTGTTGTTATGATCTGAGCTTCCCTTTTTGGTAGGTTGACTACAACTTGTATGGGATGGGTCATCTACATGTATCGAAGATTAAGTTCCGTCATCCAATACCAGATGCCTTCTGCCCTAGGAAGTCTCTTCACAATGGACAGCTTAGTCAGGACATAGATAAATCAACTTGCATGCCTGCTGATTTCCAGGTCAACTTTGTATCTTCTCTGCGCATGATAATTTTGGATAGGCATTATTGGTATTTATGCTTTTGGCTAGGATTCTGATGCACATGAATATAACTTTGGTTGAATAATGTTCTTGTATGATGTTTTGGGAATTTTGCATTAGGCAGATATACATGGCCATCTGTCTTTGGGTTCTCCTGTTTGGATATCTTCCACAA